ATTTCAGCCCGAGGCGCCTCGCGAATCCCTCCTTTATGATGTTCACTTGGGAGCCCTGATCGAGGAGAGCCCTGCCTTTGTGGATTTTACCGTGTCCATCGGTGATTCGGACTATTGCGGTAGATAGCAGCACGTATTCAGGTGGAGTCGCGCTTGCGGCCGTGAACGTTGGCTCTGGGCCGTGTTCGAGCTCTCGATCGGCTTTGTTTCTTGCTGTTCCGTTCGTCGCCAATCCCGTGGTCGCTCCCGAATGCAGCAGGGTGTGGTGATTTGTCTGGCACACCTGACAGGCACCGCGCGCGCAGGTCTTGGCACCATGTCTTGATCGAAAGCAATTGAAGCACGCACGTAGCTCCTTCACCCTTTCGATACGACGATCTATCGTCAACTTCTTGAAGCTCTTGCCCCGTGGCAATAGGCGGCAGAGCAAAGTAGGCCTTATCTTCATTTACGTGTAGCGCAGCGGCGGACTTGTGCTGCCGTTGTGCGACGAATGTACTGGAAATCACTGGGGTGATTTGGCTCTGTCTACCGGTTTTGGTGAGGAACTTGTACCGTTGCTCCAGGAAGGTTAGCAGATCGGAAAGAGTCCTACGGCCTGATTCGGAAACGTGTCTTTCCCACTCTTCTTTGGTCCGTGTGTCTAACTTTCCGACCACGATGAGAATCAGCAGGGTGTTCCACTTGTCCATTGGTTCGTCTAGCGATTTCAAGTATCGAATATGGTTGTTGAAATTGTCGACTAATTCCCTTAACTTGTCCGCCGATTCCTTGCGGATAGTTCTGAGGGCCCAGACCGTAGGCATTGTAGGATGGGGACTTCTCCCGAACAGCTTATATTACAACACTTTCTTATTAACAATTAATTAATTATAATAGTATGTAAATGCTTTGTTTTTACATAATTTTGTTTATATCTTATTAACGAGATGTGTTAAAAATTATATCTTTACATTAAATTTGAATTTTAATAATTTCAATAATAAATTTTAATAATTTCAATTTTAATAATTTTTGTACGTGTATATTTGTTCAATGCTGTTGTTATTGTGTGCGTCATGAAAGTATTACGAGTCAAACGCATACATACTTATTAAACAATTTTTTATTTGCCTTTTTCCAAACAATTCATTATTAGTATATTCAAAAATATGTTATTCTGTTATATTATTATCTTCATTTTCAATTTATCTTATAATAATGAATTTTTAATGAAATAAAATATAACATAAAATTTATATATATTTGATCATAAACATAAAAATAAAATAATGACGCGATTATATTGTATATTTGATAAATAACGCTGACGTAATATATTGTATATTTGATAAATAATTTACAATATATTTAATACTTTATAATATTATAAATGGGATCATATAAAATATCTATCTTATCTTTTTTTATATAAAACAATTTTTCAAAACAAAATTTGCATTATTTCAGAAACTTCAACAGTGGAAAGAAATTTTTTTACAAGGTTTGATCACCGGTAATTTTTTTAAATCGTACTGTGTATTTTTTTCGATATGATTGAAAAAATAAATTTGATTCACAACAATAATAATCCACCATGTTAACCATTATTTTAGACTACTTATTTTCGAGCATCAAAAGATATTATGAATATCTTGCATTAAATATCTTGATATTTTGGAAAGGATAATAGAAATATTTTTTACAATATTGAAGATACGAAAGATAAATACAGTTGAGGAATATAAACATAATTTTATGCATAATTTTGAACATGTAAATATAATATCTCTGCATATAAACGTATTGTTGTTCGTAAACACTGATGGTTTTCATCAATGAATATATGTGCATGTCCGATTTATACGAAGAAATATTTCAAATAAAAGTTGTATGATATATAGGGGTACACAGGATGATTATAGATTTACTGGGTATCTAACGTTTTTTCTCGTAAACAGTAAATGCTACGGAAAAATGAAAAGGATAAAATTGTACTGTTTTCTGTACGCAATATAATAGTACATAAAAATTTTTTTCTAGTCATATGGTTTTTTGAGATAACCTTTAATTTAAATAGAATGCTATATTTTTTTTATATTATGTAAAAGCGGATATGAAGACGAATTCAATGATGTACCGTTCAATAATCTTCACGTTTAGAATTAGCTAGATTCAAATATACTTAATAAATTTTTAAACTCAATTTTCTTGAAAACAGGACATATAGAAAAATTTTATTCTTTCTCTCGATTTATTTTTACATTTCACATTCTAGCCAGTTACACCATGATTTCGGGAGCATCCTATATACTTTCTTTTTATTTTAATTTGCTTTGATTTTATAAAATTTATGCACGGAAGACAGTATAAGCACAAAAATACTGTCCCTGTCTTTCTTCATCTTCCATACGATGAATTTTACACAATATTAAGATTAAAATATTTAAGTTTAAACAATATTAAGATTAAAATATTTAAGTTTAAACAATATTAAGATTAAAATATTGTTTACTATAACTAATATTTTTTTGATATGTGTAGGTTAATATTATTAATTTTTTTTGAAGAATGTCAAACTGTTTCGATTAATGAATCAAAAAATATATCGTTCCATTTCAAAAACTGAAGGTGAGTTTTGAAATTTCCAAAATTCGTATATTTCAAGAAAATTGTTGCTACCATAACATGATTCTTTCCGTATTTTTTGCTCCAAAAATAATTAAGATATTTGAGGTGATAAAGATAGATGGTACACTCTATATATATAAGTGATTTTTATTTGTTTGTAAGGAAAATAATATATAATTATTGTCTTATTACGATGAAAGAAAATAGAAGTCATAATTATTTTAATCATGACTTTATTGATCCATAGACCCTGAAAATAATTGAATCTTACAATAAAAAGCAAATAACAAAATGGTATAAAATATATAGATACTTTATCTCGCAAATTAAAATTAATCTATGTCGAATTAATATATGTCATAGCAACTTGTGTTAAATGATTAAAATCTATATTTTTTTTATGAAAGCTGCATTACTTTAAATCTTTGACCTTAAATCTAGTTCAATTATTGTCCTTTGAGATATTCTTAAGCATATTATAATTATCCACATATATCAATTATTTTTACGACGTAGCAAACAAAATAGAAAGAGAAAAAAGAAAATATATACACATGTATGTACATTAACACAAACTTCACGTAAACTTTCATGTACATTTGAAAATCATAAAAATGCTAACGCTGTCACTATATGTTTGTATATCCTGTGATGTATTTTTATTCTTGGTAATGTTGTATTTTGCGAGATGAACATTGTGAATAAATGTTGTCATAAAATTTGGCTAAAAGGAACGGCCAGCCGTTACAAACAGTATTTTACTACTTATTCTTGACAACCATTTTATTTCTGTTTGTCCTCATACTTATATCGTAAAAATCTATCTTTGATCCATTCATGTCCCCGTCATCTGCGTAAGTATCAGAATACTCTCAGTTCTCATGTATTATTCAGCATTTTGCAGTTTTATATTTTTTCTCTTTGAGTTCCGCTGTATCTTCTTTTTTTTTCAAAGTACCGTTACAAAGTACCGTAATCCTTTAAATAATTCATTACGAAAATGAAACACGTCATTCTAGAACGTGGTGTCGCAGTCTATTGATCGCGCGAACGTTTATATTCTTTTTCTTTCTCTTATTTTTTATCATCCACTATGAGACCGGCATCGAACAGTTGTTCTTATCGTTTCTCGTTAATTTCCTGTTGCGGTGACACAATTTTTCTCAGTGTCTTTTAATGAATTTCTGGTTGTATTATTTTCTCTATTTCATTTTATTTTTCTTGTTTTTATTCATCGGCTATCTTCTCCCTCTAATCGATTTCCTTGTATTGTTTTTCTCTTTCAGTGTATATATTTGAGAAATTTCACTGTATCTGTATCGATTTTACGATTGTACTAGTTACTATCGTAGTTTTGGCGATGAGGAACGTTAAAATCTCACGAAATTATTACAGAAATTATTACGGAAATGTCTCTCATTTTGCCTTCAACGTATCTACTGTCATTATTCGAATGCGCAATTCATTTCTGGAAGCGAATTTGTTTTTCGCCTTGTGTAAACATCATGGATCAATTTTCGCCTTATGCCAGGATCATTATTCTGAACAAGTTTTCCCTATGTTACCGCCACTTGGTTACTGAAATATATTTATAAAAATATTTATATTTATAAAAATATGTTTTATATTTTTTAAGGGACAAATGTTACCGATTTCAGTAATTCTTGAATTTTTAATAGGATAGTCGAGTGTATATCTTTGAGTATGACACATTTTCTTTCTTGAGTCTTTTTCTATTCATTAAAAATAAATTCATTTATTTTTGTGAATTATTAATAAATGATAGCAATAAGCATTTATTTATTTAAAACTAACACTGCATTGGAATGTGAGTTGGAAAAAGTCAGTACCGAATCACATATATTTAAATATACAAATTTAAGTATTATATATAATATATAGTACATGACATGCAATTGGGTAAGGTGTCTAAGACTAGAAGTTAAAATATTTTTGAACCGATCAAAGAATATATTAGACAAAAATGAATGGTTTCGAGATTAGCATTAATTGATTTGAAGTTTGTTTTTTTAAATAAAATTGTATATTTTTTAATATATTACTTGATTCAATTTGTCATTATTATTTTTATTATTCTCTTTATAGAGAATAGAGTATTTTCTATAAGAAATATTTTAATTAAAATAATTTAGAGTGCTCGTAGGGTATTAAATTTATCTATAATATTTATAAATTAATAATAGGAGATTGTATAACGTTCATTAATTATTTATTGTGATAAGAATAAATTAAATATTTATTTCACTATTACATAATAGTTGTTACAAAATATGCTTAAAATGAAGATCATTGACATCTAAACATTTTTGTAATTTAATTCTTAAAGAATGTTTCATATCTTAACATCACTGCAGTAACATTTCTTGCAGATTCTTCGATAATTCGTTAACGTCTGTCTTCAACGGTCGTTAGTATATAAAAGTAGACTATTTTTTTAGAGTTACAGAAAAAAAAATCCAATGAATTCAAATCTAAATGGGCTGGCCAATGAATTGATCCACCTATAAGTCTAATTCACCGAGAGTTGGTCCAATGCTTCTTTGGTCATTACAATACGATTACAATATCACTTCTTTCAATAACTGAATAAGACCTGAAAATGAAAACACAATGCAAACGTAATAGCAAATGAAGAGAGAATTATTGTTAAACGTTTTAAAATAAAAGATAATCTGAGAAATAATGTGTCAAAACGCTGAGCAAAGAAATTCGACTTTGAACAAGTATCATATTGCAATATTTTAATTAAATCTATTTTCTTCTGAACTAATAGTTTTTCGACAGAAATGATTTAATCCTTTTTTATAGAGATTAACGCGTTGAATGTATTAGTATATTAAAAAATACATGTCATTTAAAAAAACAAACTTGACTTTCAAACGCATTCTATACATCAGTTTTTTAAAATGAGTGTAAAGTGCATCTATATGGCAACTATCAATCGGGCAACTATCATACGGAAGCTGGCAATTTAAACCAATGGGGTTTCAGCCTATTTCAAATAATTTTCAAATCTTTTTGCAAAATTTTGCAATTTAACTTTTGAATCATTAAAAATTCTTCTAATAAAAGTTGTAAATTGGACATATTTTTAGAAACTTTGTCGAAGATTTTTGCGTATATTTCAAAAACTAAGACTGAATGGCGGTAACAATTGTTCAAAATAATGATTTTAACAATATATTTCAGATTCATTGAAATTAGAAATTTTTTTTCTAGATAATTATCAAATATTAAAATGTATAAGTTTTTTCATTTGTCCAAATTTGAAGTATTTAAAACAAAAATGTATGAATTTATACTATTTCATATTATGATATGGTATGATACATGATTATTAGAAATACAGATTTTTATTCCAAGCATTTCCAAAGAATTTCTATTGAGCTCAACTTATTATTGTTAAAAATATTCTTAAATCTAAAATTTAACGACAAAAATAAAGGAACATTTTCATGTACACTAAATTCTATTATTTATTATTAAAATTAATAATATTTTGATTAAATAATGAATGTTATTATTTTACAATATTTTATAATATTTTACATCTATTTTACTTAATAAATTTTAAAATTTATGTTATTTATAGAGTTGTAATTGTCTTACCTATGATCAATGTGATTATTCTACCAAATTCTTTATTAGAAAATTATAATTCATTGATAGTCGAAATAAATGATACAAAAGATCTTTGTAAACGTCGCACGTCATAGTCCCATTATAATTTCCATTGTATTATAAATATCATTACTTGTAATGCAATCATCTTCTTTCGATTCTTCTAACAGAGTTTTTACTTGCAATTTCTATTTGTGTTATTTGAATGAATACTTGTCACTAATTGTACCATTGCACATATATATTTTTCTACAATCGACATGAAATTGAAAACAAATTATTGTACATCATTTCTTAACCAACAAAGGAAATTGATTTGCATTGCGTGACTTTCATATAATTGACGTAACTGGCACAAAATGATTTCAATGGTTTTTTGAAAAAATAATTTAATTCTATTTTAGATTTAATTTTAATTAGATTTTATGCTCTTTTCCTCCGTAAATCTTGTAATTTTAAGAAAGAAAAATGTTTTAAATGTAATTAAGGGATTAAACAGGAAATAAGGATTTTTCAGTAATATACTTCCTTATGTTTTTATCAAAGTTTTATCATGTTTGAAATCATAATTATGATTTTGCGTTCAAATTATATTTATTACATATAATTTGAGAAATTTTATATACTTATTTATTCTTTTGTTGTATTTCAAAGTAGGATATATTTTTTATTCGGTTTTTGTAATTGATTCATTGTGATTTTGAAACTTAAAAAAAAATCAATGTAAAGTTAATAAAATTAAAAAAATTTGTAAAGTCAATGTAAAGTTAATAAAATTAAAATTTGTGCATTATTACTTACCGTTGTGTTTTGCTACATTCTTGCCAAATTTCTGAATTTCAATGAAACACGTCAGAAATAGATTTTTAATATTCTAATTGTAAGTCAAGAAAAGTTTATAAACGAATTTTATATCTATGAAATTTCCTTGTATGTATCTATGCAACAAATTAAGCATATAGTCAGTATGTTAAATCTACTACTACCGGTTTACAATGTAAACTTCAATAGTGCATATCGTATTCCTCATATTATAATGATTTTTTTTTTCAAGAAGTTATGAGTTTTGATTCTGTTTTCGTATTTCTAAGGACGACTTACCCTCCTCTCTCTTCAGGAAATTCCACCGAAAACTTTCCCGTGCTTCGGCGAATCCACGAAGAGAATTTCTATTTTTTCCTAATGTCTAGATTTCGGCGCAAATATTGGTGACAATTGCGTAGAAATTTCGAGATTTATGATATAAAAAAATCTAAAGAATTTTTAAATTCTCAAAAACAGCTACGAACCTTATCTATATCATAAATTATCTTCGTTCTCGGACTTAATGCAGCGTGTGCATGTTGTATTTTGTAAAAGTATATAAAAAGACTGAGTTTTTACGATTTTATAAAGAGTATTTAATTTATTACATTAATACAATATTTTAATCATGCGTTAATACTTCAAAATTTTAATGTATAACAGGATCATTCGGTGAATGAATATTGCTCGTATCACACAAAAAATTAACTTTTATCATGCTTCTTTTACCCTGAAATTCATGTAATTTCCATAAAAATCCACAAATTTCTCGCAAAAGCATTTCTTTTCATTTTTATAATTTATTATTCATTCATTATCTTCATGATAATTTCCACAAGTTCAAGATAAGTCTTATTCTTTACAATCTATAATTTGTATTTTGAAGAGCATTTAGTATGATAAGTTTGTTTTTGTAATTACGTTTAGATGTTTCTTTAACAAAAATATACAAATAACAGACTTACAAGAATTTATCGATCTTTTTGGGTGTTCATACATTGAATAGAAGATAACAGTGAATATAAATGAATATATTGCAGATTTTTATGCATTTATGATACAAATTTAAAGATATAAGAACGCAAGTGAATAATAATATGTAAAATTGAAAGTAGAAGAAATCTAGGGATTCTTTTATTTCTTCTATTTCTTGAAAGTATGTTTATATTTATCAAAAAGAATATTGTGTTAAACAGGATGGTTTGAGAAAATCTTAACAAAGATTGCATATTTAAAAATTAAGTCTTTCCTTCGGTCAGTTAGTGGAATTAAATTAGCATTTATAGATAGCGTTTATAGGTCTAGTATGAAATACTTCTGTTATTCCTGTGTTACACATGTTCCTGAGTTATGAACGAGACTGAATAGTTTTAGCAGTCGTGGAAGAAGCAGCGTATCATTGGTAGAAGCTTATACAGGGTATTTCATTTAAATGTAAATCCCAAATATCTTTTTTAATTGTGAGTGGCCAATATCCTGAAAGTATTTTTTATGAACAATGCAACAGAAAAAAATGTAGTTATTTGACAAAACATCAATAACCTTGAAATCTTAAAAAAAAAATCTTTGAAAGAAAACCAACAGCTGTAGAATATTGATAATTTAATATTATTCAATTTATGTATAAAATATTTTTTGTGTCCTCATAATTAAAAAAAGATATTTGGGAATCACACTTAAATGAGATACTCTGTATAATTGAATCACTAATATAATATAATTAAATTGAAATACTTTTGTAAGTACCAAAACTAGATAAATTTTTTCTTTTGTATGAAGAAATTTGTTTAGATGCTAAAAATTTAAAGATATTGAATCTTTTATGATAATTATCTATGTCCATGTAAGCCTTTTGTCAAAAGTGAATCCTAGAAGTTTTAACTTATCTGTAACTAAGTTGCAAGATTTCCTAGAAAAACTGCAAATTTTCTATATTGTTTGTTTATTTTGCATAAAAGAGTAAAATTTAATTTTTGAAAATTTAAAACCATTTTGTTCAGAAAATTTTGTTAAGGCAATAAACTATATGCATAAACTGTAATTTTGATTGGTGCCTTGGCAACATATGAAATATTAATTGCAATAAAAAATAATATGATAGTAAGAACGAACTCCCCTTGTAGGAGATTTTTTAAAGAAATAACCATTAACTTTCAGTTGGATGGATCGATTTTCAAGAAAATTTCAAATGAAATTTATCCCTAATGTATAATTCCATTAAAATCCGAATAATTCTATTTCTCTATATCATGTCGTACGCTTTTTCAATATTATAAGCTGGTAGCAATTAAAAATTCTTTATTGATAAATGCTTCACGAATATTAGTTTCCAAATATATGACCAAATTACATAATTAAACAGTTTTGACAAAATCCACTTTGTTGATGTGCTTGAAAAAAATTATTTCTCTCCAAAAATTATTTTAATCTTTTATTAATTTTTTAAAAATTTCTTTCTAAAAATTTAAAAGTACAAATAAGAAAAATAGGCTTCAACAGCTACAAAATACAACAGAATTTTTATTTTTTGAAATTTCAAAATAGGAATCGCTATGACCTCAGGTCATCTATCAAGAAAAACATTGTTCATATGGCGTTGTAGATATCGAAGAGAATTTTAAGAGCATTGATAGGTAATTGCTGGAAAAAAATATTAGGGTGATCCTATCTGATTATTTAAAAACACGCTTTAAGAACAGACAAAAGTTCAGAAAATTGAAATTTGTCAATTAATTAAATCGCAGTGTTTGATGATTATAGAGAGATGATTAAAGATTTTTTTTCAATATTTTATTTTAGAGAGATGAGTAAAGATTTCTTTCCAATATTTCATTTTACTATCAAAAAATCTGTGTTAAAATTATTGTTATTAGAATTTTTGGCAAAAATTAGTGTAAATAGATATGCTATTACAATAGGATTAGATATAAACGTTTGCAAATTGTTTTGCAAATGAATGATATTTCTGTATATTTTACGTTTTTATTTTCTTGAGCTTATTTTATAATTTTTCGTTTGA